TTATCGTCGAAAATTGATCGGAATTTTATTGAACCAAAAATTGCGATGCATAGCGAGTTAACCGCCATAAATCGCAATTTTTTATTCGATAATATTGCGGTAAATTGCCACAAATATAATCGCGATAATCAACCGATAAAATCGCTATTCATCGCGATTACTGGTACTTGGGTTTATTAGCTAAAACGTCAAATGCGGAGCGAAGAGAGGAGTGAACACTCTATTTATTTGTTTTCAAGGTCATATATTCCCAAAAAAATAGGAGAAAAAAATATTTCATGCCAAATGGTGCTGATTTGGACCATATAAAGGCCGAACTCGGCAGTCATTTTGATTGTTCCTGAACACTCTAATCGAAATCATTTTCCGGGTCAATTTCTATAATCAGCATTATTGGTTTTTTTTAGGACCGGTACCCCTGCAGAATATGGGTAAATGTGTTCTCAAATACGCAATAAAACTATTCCGATGTGTTCTGAGCCACTTAATCTGAAAATTGCGTTTATTCTTCCCGATCACCCCTCGGTTTTCCGAAAAACTAACCAGGATAATGATAATTTTTTCGGGCGGAATCGGCTTTTCCAGAGAATTGTAGGGTGATGGAAAAGAACGGAGGTCTCCGGATTCAGCCCCTGAAAATACGTAGGAATCACCTTATCTCATCCGGGAGACATGGTTGTAATTTTTTTGCTTGTTAAACAGTGCTATTGCCGGGGAGTACCTGATACTCCCAATTTCGATAATAATTAATATACGTATTACACATACATATGAAGCCGCTTTTATAGCGCTCTCTGGCGCTCTGCGACACCTAGCCGCCAAAGTTCCCGATCCTCCTAAGGCCTTTCAGGGAGTTCACATACCCTCATTTTTTCTAAAACCCTATGTCGCCACCCTTTCACTGGGTATCCCCTATGTCTCCTCCCAGGAGAAACCCAATCAAGCATCTTTTACGGCAGTCCTTCGTCCGTCATTCTATTAACATGGCCATACCAGTCAAGCTGTCTGATCATGCTGTCGAATACGATGTCATTTCCGACTCCTATGATCTGACGCACTCTTTCATTGCGGACCCGATCGCTTCTAAAAATTCCTACAGCGACCTCCTCCAGAAATCCATTTCCGTTGCTCTTAGCCCCTGTGTCCGTTCCTTCAGCTGCCAAACTTCACTGTCATATGTAAGAATACTTTTGTCTTCAACGTTCTAAATTTTCCTCTTGTTCTCTTTGGAAATCTGCGGATCCCAAAGGATTCCATTGAATATAGCTGTAGCCTTCCTTGCTAGGATGTTTCTTTCCTTGATCCCTTTATCCGTTCTTCCATCCTGGGTCAACGGAACCCCCAAGGACCTATAGTGCGCCTTTGATCTGCTGCCCATCCTCCAACCCAATGCTTTGCTGATCACCAATAGTTTTATTGCGTATTTGAGAACTTTACCCATATTCTGCAGGGGTACCGGTCCTAAAAAAACCAATAATGCTGATTATAGAAATTGACCCGGAAAATGATTTCGATTAGAGTGTTCGTGTTCCTGAACACTCTAATCAAAATGACTGCCGAGTTCGGCCTTTGCTTGGTCCAAATCAGCACCATATGGCATGAAATGTTTTTTCCTCCTATTATTTTGGAATCTGTGACTTCGAAAACAGATATCTAGAGTGTTTACTCCTCTCTTTGTCCCGCATTTGACGTTTTAGCCACTAAAGAGCCAAAATCGGCCGCCATCTTGGATTTTGGGCATTTCCGTGGGTCGATGGGTCTGTATGATAATTTTTCTGGAATCTACGATCCAAAAAACATGAGAATCGACACCTCTCTTGACGTTTTGTGCCGTTTTACCAAAATTTCAATTTCAGCCTCCACTTTGGCCGCCATCTTGTTTTTGGGGCCTTGGCATCAAAATTGGAGAGTCCACCAAAGATTTTCTCATCCTAGGGACCAAAATGAAGAGAGTAAACTTGCATCACAAACGTGCAAACGGGACGTAATTTTCGAACACATGCTCCCCTGACTATGCGACAAATCGCCTTTTCCCGTCATTTTTGAGCATTTCCGGCCGGTTTTCATTCCCGTTTGGATCCGTGCCCCATCGATGCGCGTTAGTAAGGGTTCATTACTCGAAAGTATACACCTTAAGGTTGAAATGGAGAGAGAAAATTGGAATTTGCAGTTACAATCCATGAAATGCATCGGTTACGGTGTGAAAAATCGTCTTTTTGCGTCAATTTCGAGGATTTTCGGTCGGTTCCCAGTTTCCATCAGGCCGTTAATCGATCGGTGCATGTATGGAAAGCGTTGATAGTCCGTTTTTATACATGTCAGAGGGTAAAGTGGGAAAAAATATCGATAATTGAAGAGTTCATTCTCTAAATATTTGGATTAACGTGTGAAAAATCGTCCTTTTTTACCAATTTTTGGCCTTTTTTGGCCTATTTGAATTTTTTTAGGCCCTTAACCGTCCGATGGCAATTGAAAAAAGTATATGAACCAAAAGTATATATCCTAAGCTTGAAGTATAAAAAAAAAATCGAAAATCGGAGAGACTGTTTTTTAGATAATGCAGTTTGAACATTGAATGACGAAAAAATCGTAAATTTTAAAAAACTCTAAATTACGGCCATTTAAATAATTTTTAGCTCAATTTTGATGGCATATTCAGAATCTACATAAAAAATTGGTCTAGAAACACTCTTTCAAAGTATGATCGATTGATACAGAGTCTCGCTACAGAGAGTCAAAGAGAGGGAAGTCGAGAAAATGAGAATCGCTAAAACGGGCTTTTTTGAATATCGCTAAAATTCACCCCATCTTTGGGGGTCGATATCTCGCGAACGGGGCGTCGGATGGGAAAACCCTTCAAATTAGTTTCTTAGAATGATGTAAAGACCCCGTATACCAATTTTCAGCCAAATCGGAGGGGGTCGGGTTCCGACCTTGGTTGCGTTGACGTGGAATGACCCGCCTGCAAACCTAACAGGGATACTTCACGCGTTGCGCAATACGTGAAGTATCCCCGTTAGGTTTGTAGGCGCCAGTGCGCCGCTCCGCTTTGTGTTTTAGGCTCTAATATTTAATCTGGCGGAGTCAGCGTTATTCAACTCATGATTTTGAAATGTTTGCACACCTGCATGTGCAACATGCAAATCGTGTTTTACGTGCAACTTTGAAGCAATAGCATATGTCAGAGTGCTTAAATTCGTGCCTTGATTGGAGGTCCATTTGCTGAAGCATATGTACTTGTTTAAATTGGAAATGCGGCTCTACAAACGCCACAGAGTGATATATCTCACTTATATATAAATCTATTTTCCTCAATTATCCCTCATCGGCAAAAATTGGGAGAAAAAATTTGAACTTATTTTCCTGGAAATAATGAGAAGGCTTTCTGTTTTTTGGCCAACCACACCAGTAAGAATTTATACTAAAACTACTAGTATAGTATTGAAAACAGCGGAAAAATCTCACTCACATCAATGCATGCAGTAATGTTTTTTCATCTTCCGTAAGCAAAGATTTTGTAACAGTTAGATATGCGATACGGGAACGTAAGTTACGGGTTCTGTACGAAGTACGGGACCAATTTAGAGAAAACTACACTATCGCTAAAAATAAATAACAGAAAAACGATTATCGTTCTCCTTGATTTGACATCAGGAGCATTGAAAAAAGGTATCACAGATTAATCTATTGTATATATGTTAGGCCCGTTTCCACCATCTTATTGTTGAGCTGATGCAACATTACAACGCATTGTCTCTAGTTTCTAGCATACACGTACCTACCAGAATTCAAGATGTAGGTTGAAATCTTGGATCCTGCACGGATTTTAAAAAGGTTCTACGGACAAAAACTTTTATTTTTTCATCTAGTATGACCTCCCGAAGTGACAATTTCCAATTAAAAAATCGTCGATTTTGATCGTCCCCACCGCACTAATGCTAATTATGAGTCGTCGAATTGGCAAATTGAGTCGTTTAAGGAAAAAAAAAAATTCCGTCGAGATTCTGCATGGAACGTAAAGGCGCCTTAAAAGTATTCTGGGGCTATAATAGCTAAATCAACGGTATTAAATCCCGTTATATTATTAAAAAGAAATTGACTCCATAGTTTAATGCCTTAGTTTTTTGAATACGATTATTTTAGGCCTTCAAACATTTATACCGCACCAGTTTTAGCCATGAGGCGATTTCCTGAGAGCCGATAATATCACGAATTTCTCATAGAACCCTCAAAAATGGCTTGCTTTTTACAATACACGGTCTCGTCAAGGTGCGTCGTTTACCTCGCAGTATTGGATCGTGAATTCTCTTGCCTATTTTGCCCCTTTCTGCCTGCCTATTTTGAAATCTCTGTAAATGAAAACTAAAGGGGTTGATATGTGCGAGTTAATGACGCGCCTTATCAACACATTGTGTTGGAGTTCACTGCTTGTTTTAGTTTCATTTTTATGGTTTAAAAATATTTTATTACCGAAAAACCAACGACCATTTATCCTCCTTAATTCTGTAATAACTATGACATACCATTGAGAATTTAAATTCGCAAAATGAAGCATCATAATGATCAGGTCTCCTCGTAATAGTACAGATATCGACGATGAAACAACCAGACCACGTATCTCGGTTTGCGGCATTGTAGACTTCCTTTCATACTTTATGTTTTTAATGGAGAACTACTCATCATCAATTCTTGAGAATTTTCGTGATTTTTTCTCTCTATGTGAGGAAAAATCTATGAAAATTTCAAGAAAAGATACTGATTTGTTCTCCTCCGAGTTCATAAATTCACTGGAAAAAAACACATTGGATCTAGAGGCCAGACTCTTAAAAACATCGACAAGAAAAAATACTCTTGATTCAATCAGATTTAAGCTTAAATCAAGAACCAAGCCTCTTCATTTCAGCGGATTTCCTTTTGATTTAAGCTTAGATCTGATTGAATCAAGAGTCCTTTTTCTTGTCAATGTTTTCAAGAGTCTGGACTCTAGATCCAATGTGTTTTTTTTCCAGTGTGTGAGCGGAGATTTTTTAACACCGCAAACAAGACACGTGGTCTGCCAGTTTCACTGTCGATATGTGAGAGAAAAATGCAAAGTTTTGATCGGAGTTACGGCTTTTTTCCTGTGGACGGCAGTACTTCTCTGCATCTACTGGAATAATTTCATGTCTCTAATGTACTGAGGCCAGAGGTCTCTGGCACTATGTCCTTCGGACAGCTTCTCAACTCCGGGCAAAGCTAGATGGATGACGTGCTTGTCTCCTTTACCATGGAGGGTGAATTTGCCGGAATGGAATATTGTTCTAGCCATGTCCTTCGTCAACGGAGCTCGGAGAGGGCACTCGGCCATCATTTTATTGTGCATGTAGCTGAGAGGGCTGCCCTGCGCTTTGCCTCGCGAGAGGTACTCCACGTAGTGCTTCCCCGCGCACCTGAACGCATGGAACGGTAGGTCGTGTTTCGATTCAATCATGAGCGCGGCTACCAAACTGCCCACCTAGAATGAAAGATCAAAGAGGGAGTTGCCTATAGTCCGCACCACGAAAAGTGGCGGGTGAGGGGCAAAGCTAGTCGACCGGTCCAGTCTATCGTAGAAGGGTTGAAGCGCAGTTATTGGCCCAGCCGTTACCCCGTCTCAACTACGGGCAAATACCTGCGCTTCAACCCTTCAACGATCGACTGGACCGGCCGACCGGCTCCGCCCCTCACCCGCCACTTTTATTGGCGCGGACTATAGAATTGGTCATTAGGCCTTGTCCACACGAGCGCGGTTCGCGGAACTTATTCCTCGAACTTGCTCAGTTCCCGGAACTTATTCCTTGAAACGAGGCATGCTGTCCACACGAGTTCGTCCGAACTGGAACCGGAACTTCAATAAAACTAGAGTACCTGTATAGCGAGAGTATAGACAGATGTGAAACTCCGAAAATCCATCAGGCTTTCACCGATGTCTCCGCGAATAAAGTTAGGGCTCAGAAATGCAGCCAACCTATGAGTCTCAATTATCCAGAGCGCTTTACTAATACAATTGTTACGAGCCATCGTTTATAAAGCACGTATTTGACTTAGTTTTTGCATAAATTTACTCGTTTTTGCGGGAGAACGCTCATTTATGTACATTCTTAGCCATCTTGGTTAGAATTGGAATCTGCAGACTGGCAGTGAAATTTTGTGCGTTAGAAGTTGGTTAGAGGGGTGGCTGCACTTTTGGGCCCTAAGCCCTCCATGAAGCGATCATGTCCATACTCTCGCTATACAGGTACTCTAAATAAAACTATACAATTATTGGAAAATAATAGATTATTACGACCGCCAAAGTAACAAAAATAAATGTCAAGATCATATGTAAAGGACGTGAAAAACAAAAACAAGCAAATTCACATCAAAAGAAACATATTTAGAAGCTAGGAGAACGGGGGAAATCTCGGGTTTCGGAGGAATAAGTTTCAGCTCAGCTAAAAACTTGTTCCGGGAACAAGTTCCTCGAACTGAGTTCCGCGAACCGCGCTCGTACGGACAAGGCTTACGGTAAGGACTGAACTCAGTGTTCGAAACTCTCAGGCGCCAACGCGCCAAATGCGCCGAAGAAATCGGCCATGGCGCCTAAAAAAATGAAGGCTCTGCGCCAACTTGGCCCCTAAAAATTGCCCCTCCCCCTCCGAAAAATATCCTAATTTTTCTGTTGAGTGATTTTTCGAAATTTCCCCCTAAGTTACAGTTCTTAGCCCTGTAACTAAAACATCTTGCGTCTGACTTTTCATTAAATGCGCTGTGATATTTAGGCAACAAGTCAATTTGGCCCGTAAAAAATCTTCAATGGCCCCCCGCAAACATCGAGTTTGATGCGCCACATGGCTCCTGAAACTCAGAGGTGAGTTTCGGACACTAGCACTGAACTATCAAAAATCACATATTTTCTCCTCAAATTGTTATTGAAATTTATTACACTAGAGGGTATGGTACGCCCCTTTACGCGAAAATAATGAAATTGCTGATTCAACAATTTTGTAGTTAAATAAGTTTCTGACATGTTTCAATGTAGATTTTACGATAAAGAAATGTTAATTCAACCACTCCCGTGGTTAAATGGACCGAGTTCATTAGAAAGGAACCAACCCGCATACCTAAAGTTGAAGCTCAGGAAAAGAGGTTTGAAGTTGTATTCCTGCATAAGGCTCAATGTAGAGAATAAACTTTAACGCCTCTTTTCACAAACTAATTTCTGTATTGACTTTCAGTTTTTGGCTGGAGAAAATATACGGCTAGTGGAACTTAAAAACATTCTTAACTCAATTTTTTCGAAAATGTGGGTTGGTTCCTTTCTGATGAACTCGGGCCAAATGAGCTTTTCAATATTGTAAACATACATTTAAAACATACATACATTCCAGTCGCTTTACAGCGCGCCCGGGCGCTCTGCGACACCTAATCGCCATCCTTGCCTATCGATCCAGAGATCATCTCGTAATGGCACATTTAAAACATATCAAACATATTTGTTAACAATTTAATTGTTAAATTCGCAGTCCATTTTTTCCGTATTGACCGCTTGCGGTCCAACCCTCGAGGCATTTGCACCGTTACGTGTATAATGTCAATCTTAGTTACTTTGAGTTCCTTTTTTTCAGTGTCACGTCAACCTAAAGGACTTGGTTGTCCAACATACTTTGATGTTAAATCGACACAAACCGTCGCAGCTATACTCTCATTGTGAGACATCGGATTGTGCAGAAAGTGTCCTGCCGACCTTATGTTCTCTTGTTTCCTTTCCCCATAATTAGAGGTCTCGACCATAGAGTACAGAGAGTCGTAATGTAAATGAGAGAGGTGGCGCCATGTTCTGGTCGACGAGTTCAATTATAGCAGTGCAGAGATAGATCGACGGAAAGTGACAACTATTTGCTATTCTGCACTGAAAAAAAAAATTCTTGGTACATTTACTGAGAACAGGGTAAAATTACCAAGAATTCAGGGTTCTATTTGATCCCAGTTTTTTCTTGGTAAAATTACCATTTATGGAATTGGTAATTTTACCGAGAAATCTAAATTATTGACTTTCTCGGTAATTTTACTGGACCCCGGTAACAACGCCAATATTTTTTATCGACTGTGGTAGAATTACCGAGATAAAATGGCAAAATTACCGGGAATTGATTACCAATAAAATTGGTACTCTTACCTGGAAAAAAACAGTAAAAATACCGGTTTTTAGGTAAGCCTATCAGTCTGCCTTGGTAAAATTACCAATAATTGGTAAAAAAAGTGAGATGGTAAAGGTACCAACGGACCTTGGTAAAGACGCCGAGAATTTCTTTTCAGTGTGAGAGATTTTCAAGATTATAATGAAGAAGCAACTTTTTTACAACACTGCAATCGCGCTGGTTCCTTTTTGCTAAATGTGATCCATATCATATTGGTAACATGTTGGTACCGTCGTGATAAAATGTTTCACTCGCCATGTTAGTACCATGTTGGGCCAGACCAACATGTTACCAACATGGCCATTTTTAGCAGGGTATATATTACGGTACGTGATACCGTGATAATAGTCGCGATAATTGATTTATTTACTTACAATGCCGATATGTTTTCTCTTCCTGCCCCTGTTCATGAGTTTATCTCCCGTCATCTCGCTTTTGATGTTGACGAGGTGGGCGTTGGTTTTGCCTTTTTTTGCGACGTTGGTCAGTGTGCCGAGGCCTGGCCAAAAGGCGATGACGTGCGCGTGGTCAATGGCGTACATCCAACGGTAAGGGACGCACAGGATTCTTCTATTGGGGATCATCGCCGAGACGATTGTGTCGCCAGCCGTCATTTCGAGATCTTGCCCTCTACCTTTCACAAACTCGCGGTTGTCCTTGGGCCGTTTCTTCCACGGCCATCTCATCTCTGCCATGTTTTTCATCCAGGGCGGCAGTTTGATGCGGTATTTCCCTAGAAAATATGAAGGAAAATGCAGGGCGCCGCATGTACACTGCCGTCCTAAAGGGCCAGATACATCTGCAAGCTAGACGCGCGTCTTGAGCGGCGAGTAGGCCTTCGGCCTGGAGTCCCTTCATGCTGAGAGTCAAGACAACACCCCCGCATGGAGTCACGAACGAGTTAAAGATCACATAAATTGAACGTTTTTTGTAATCTTTGATCGGCCCATTCTCAAATTCCTTTCTCCGTTCCTCCTTTCATTCCGTTTGTTCCTTGCCTAACCCGTAATTCCCTGGTCCATTCCAGATTATAATCTTTGCAATCGGTGGAAATGTAATCTTTATTCCCGTTTGTGACACTGTGAAGGCCTAAAATACGGGAACCAATTAGAAATGGATTCACATTGTCTTGACTCTCAATATAAAGGGACTCTACTTCGGCCGTGTTCGGCAATCTTCGTAGCCAATCAGGTCGCAGCTCGCCACTCGTAACTCGCTCAAAGTAGGATCGGATCCTACTTTTCGGGTCAAGACGAGCGTATAGCGCGCAGGTGTATCTGGCTCCTAAGGAAGAATGCCGTATGAACATCCGAGAGTTGCCAAATTTCATCCGTGAGGAAAGATATGAATATTTTTCCTTGAAATTTTCAGGGACTTTAGGTGGAATTGCGAACAAAATTATCTGGAAAAATGGAACGGAAATATTTATATGTTTACCAGGAGATTCGTTTTTTATCAAAGGGAATTTGTCAACGCCTGAAGGTTCATACGGCGTTCTCCCTTAGCACGGCTGCGGACACATAACGATTGAAACATCGACGGTGTAACTGCAAAAATGCGTATCTCGGTTGCAGTGTTTCAAAATCTCCGCTCTTTTTTTCTCTTTTTTTATTTTTGAAGGAGACCGAACCATCATCATGGCTTGAAGTTTTCACAGAATATTCTTCACGCAGAGAAAAAAAATCATTGAAATTCCCAAAAAAATAACGTTCGGTAGTTTTCCATGTGGAAAACAAAGTTTGACAGGAAGTCTTCAACGCCGCAATCCAAGATACGCATTTCTGTAGTTAAACCATCGACATGTATTAGTGTTAATATACTTTTATTTTGAAGCGGTGTCTTAGCAGCTATGGTCATTAACCTATCTGAAGTTAGGTTACAGGGTTTTTTTTAAAAAAATGGGACAAATTCGAACACTGGAAAAAAAACACATTGAATCTAGAATCCAGACTCTTAAAAACATCGACAAGAAAAAATACTCTTGATTCAATCGGATTTTTACTTAAATCAAGAACCAAGCCTCTTAATGGGCCTGTTGCAAACTTTTGCTAGAGCAAAAATAAGAGTTGTTTCTTATAGATAATGCCTCAAAAATCACGATGAGCGCATCGGCAAAGTCTGAAATGCACTCATAACTTCACAATCTGCGTAAGAAATTTGCGGTTTTTTGAGCTTCCCGCTTCAAAAACGATACTACGGCACAGGTGAACATTTTGTTAGAGGAGTCGTTCCATCGTCGGCAATACTCATCATGGCCGACGACAATCCGACAAAACACCTGTGATGGGACGAGATAACACCTGAACAGGATTAGACTAGATAACAATCGGCGTGTTTACGTTCATATTTTCCTCACCCGCCTTGATTGACCTTGAACTCTCCTCGAAATACGCGCGGAACTGCGCAAGCGTCGGCCATGATGAATATTGCCGACGATGGAGCGACTCTTCTAACAAAATGTTCACCTGTGCCGTAGTATCGTTTTTGAAGCGGGAAGCTCAAAAAAACGCAAATTTCTTACGCAGATTGTGAAGTTATGAGTGCATTTCAGACTTTGCCGATGCGCACATCGTGATTTTTGAGGCATTATATAAAGGAAACAACTCTTATTTTTGCTCTAGCAAAAGTTTGCAACAGGCCCATTTGAGCGGATTTCCTTTTGATCTAAGCAAAAATCTGATTTAATCAAGAGTATTTTTTTTTGTCAATGTTATCTTGACTCTAGATGAATGTGTTTTTTTTCCAGTGAATGGTAGTAGTAAAAAGCAAAAGCGTAAAATTTAAAAGATTGGGAGAAAAATAAAAACGTATGAAAGAGGAAGAAAGAAGAAGAAAAATATACGAATAGATTGATACATTGATAAATTTATTTTTAGATAATAAGCTTAACATAATTTAGATCGCAGATAGGGCTCGCTCTATGAGATCCGTCGTTTCATCGAGCGAGCCCCTGACACGAGCAACTATTCGGCCACTGCGAATGTAATTTTGCCTACCCGGCAGGTTGAAGGAGTTTTGTTGAGTCGCTTACGTGGCAGAGGGAAGAGGAGTAATGAAAAACTGTATTTTATAATTTAGACTGGACTTGTACATGGTTTCCAACTCGCATACCAGCGTGCGTATGGAATATGAAAATTGCAGGTACAAGTATAGTGTTTGCAATTTCTCCTTAGTTCGGAAATTGCGACGTTGTAAAGTTCTTGAAAAATGTTGATTTCCCGTATAGTAGCACTTCAAAATTTGAGGCCAAGTGCGCGAACAAGTTGAGTAATATTTTAACGATTTCCAGTAAAATAGGTTTTGGTTGAAAAATTCCACAGGGCCTCGAACATTTAAAGTGGTGTTGTGAAACATCGGATTGAGTTCTGAGTGTCTGACATTCCACTTTCTGGAATTGGGTGCTCTGAGAGGAATTCTCTTCGAAGTAAATAACAGCAGCCTTCTGACTGTGTGCCTCATCAATTGACTCTTTTTTCGCCACTGGATTTTTCCATGTACACCTTTATGCTTTTATAAAATGCATGAAAGGGTAATTTTTTACATGTAAAAAAAGAAAAAAAATTGCGAGAAATTCTCACGCATCACGAGAAAATATTGCTACGGTCCTTGAACCGTGAAATTAGCACTGAAAATTGTTTTAAATCACTGACTGGATTTTGAACTTTTTCATGGTGTCAAAAATCTGCATTCATTTTACTTCCGCTATTATTTTTACCAATCTAGCTCGTTTAAGCTCAGCAAGTTAACTTACTTTCCCTTATTTCATCCCCTAACCGCTTTTTCAATTTTCTGCAACATAATTTTCACTAGTGAGTCACAAAAGACTGAAAATAGAAATGCTGTTCCGAAAGTACTGCAAATTTTTTTTTCTGAAGAGCAAACGGAGGTAGGTACGAGTTTTAGAACAAAATTTTAACTGGTCTAGTAAAAGTCAAAATTTGATTCAGTGACAGAATTTGGAACAAGTCACGCAAACTCGTCTAGGATTTTTTGCGCTTTTTGCAAGGACAAAAGAGATTAAAAATTCAAATGAAAAAGAAATTCAGGAACATTTCAGATGGGAATTATTAAGAACTAAAAAGAGGCTCTTTTCCATTCAATTACATGTTATCGTCGCTCCTCTGACGGAAGGGCAAATCTCAAGGAGAACAAGGCTCAAGCAAAAGTTCAGAGAATGGCAGGTGACAAATGGAGATGTTGAATGTGTGAGGGATTTGCGATCTGACTATAGATTCTTATTTAAAAGTTCGCGATAAACACGATGGTGCCTATGGTTTTCTCTGAAATCAACTTCCAAGCTCAGAAATGCTCTCATTGTTGAGACTGTAATGGAGGGGATATTCCACGCTAGCCTGAGACAAACATAATGATAACTGATTTGGGGACTCCAAAACTGAAAAAACGGCATCCTTGCTAATGTATTTGCTCCCTATCTTCGCATGGAGAGTTTGTCTTGATGTAGAATTGTAGACGTGGACTCTCAGGATAGCGTGGGATATCCCCTCCATTTTGGCCTCAAATTGAGAGCTTTTTTGAGCTTGGGAGTTGATTTCAGAGGAAACCAGTGGCACCATCGTGCTTCTCGCGAACTGTTACATAAGAATCAACAGTCCAATCGCAAATTCCTCACACATGCAACATCTCCATTGCCGAAGAAGGGTCTTGATTGTTTCCTCCCGGGAAAAGGGCAGGGAAAGGGCACCCAGTGAGAGGGTGGAGGGATGGGATTGAAGCAGAAATGCTAAGGTGCTCGATTCCCGAAGGGTTGTGGTTCGAGGAGGGCAGCGGAGGTTAGGTGTTGTGGAGCGCCAGGGAATGCTATGAAGCGACTTATACTTATGTATGAAAATAACATCGGTTCAATAAAAAGGATATTTATTACCTTTAGATTTGGGTGACTCACTACCACTCGCACTCGCTAAACAGATCAAACAAAGAAGGACGAACACTTTGATGTGGAGTCTCATTTCTCGGAAACACTGATTCGAAGCCGATCGACTGAATGCAGGAAGCGTTTTGCTCAAATAAAAGCTGGCGGTGTTTTTTTTAGCTTTTCTAACGCCACCGGATGACGCCATTGGATACGATCACGGTATATCGATGTCATGCCAGCATACGTACTTTACGCGCTCGGAAGGTGACGTATCGTCGCCCCTATGACGTAAGGGCGTATCCCTATTTGCACTTGAGCCGCGGAAAGCATAGGCTTAAACGGAGAACAGAGCTCACATGGAAAATGAGTAACGCTCTTACGTCAGAGGTGCGACGATACTGTCGTGCCGCCTATCTTAGGTACGGCTCGGGTGCTTACATACGGCAAAAAATCCCTCGGAAATGTTCGTACCCCAAAAAACCGCGGCACTTCTGCCAAATTTCGGCAGTCGGGATGAAAAATCTCAGCCTCAGCTGCTGAACTGTTTTACCGTGATTGTGCGAAAAATGGAATGCTGTTTTAGCATCTAGGATGTCAAATATGTGTCTGGTGATCCTAAGATGCTGCCTTGATTGCCCATGTAATTGAATTTCATTCGCAGGATGTAAAGTTAACTGCGGGGGCAGTGAAGGCAGCATCTTAGGATCTCACCAGATACAGTACTGACTTCCTAGATGCTAAAACAGAATATTATTTTTGTCTGGGCGCTTTTGCGGTGAAATATTTTGGGATAGCCCCATGCAGCGAAAACAAATTAGAACGACCAAGTTGTATCATTTTACAACCCTATAAACAGTTTAGCAGGGTTTCAGGACATTTTTCAACAATTTTTTGTCCGCGCACCTTCTTTGTCCAATAGTTTACGCCCACACGTAAAATAAGCAACGGAGACTTGGTCCAAGCGTTATATTTTAGTCGGTATGTAAAATTATATTGACAATATGAATATGAGAAATTGAGAGAGAAAGGAGGTGTTGTTACGGTTGCTCATTTTCTAAATGAAATGTTACTACTTTTCCTTTTGAATCATCTTTTTAAATTGTCATTGGTGAATATTTGGTTTTATTTCTATCCTTAAAATATTCGATGTACAATATACCTTATATATATGTATAGGCACTTTTTTTTATTTTTTTAATTTTTTCTTTACGAAATTATTACTTCATTTTGAAAACATTCATATTTTTAAAACGTGACAAACATTTGTAAAATCTTCTTCAAGCGACTCTAATCTCAATAAGCTGCAGTTGTGCCAACAGAAACTGCAAAAATGAATAAAAGAGGGGAAAAAATAAAAAATTACGCAATCTTTAGTTTTAACTCATTTGTGCATCGATCTTTTAGAGTCAAATACGTCAAATTTTGAGCGTTTGGTTGCGCGTAAATCTCGCTCCAGCACAATAAAAGCACAAAATGTAAAAGAAAAAATTAGAGTGCTTTGGAAATCATTAAATTTGACACGGAACCACCAATATTCAAAAAACACACATTATAATTATTATTCTCCTTTGATAAATTGATACATATTTTTTCCCCATCAATTTAAATGAGAATAATCAATGCAGAGTGTGCAAACACTTCAAAATCATGAGTTAAAAAACGCTGACTGTGCGAGTATAAATATTAAAGCCTAACAGAGCGAAGCAGCGGCGTGCTACCAGCGCGAGAGACTCACTGGCGCCTACAAACCTAAGTAGATACTTCACTCGTTGCACAATGCTTGAAGTATCCACTTAGGTTTGTAGGCGCCAATGAGCGTTTCGCGCTGGCCGCCCACCCGCCGTGCGGCGGCGCCTGAAGCAACTATTTCACAACAGAGGTGTTGCACAGTATTATACGAAATTGGACGTATTAAGAATGACAGGCATCCTTTAAAAGTACAGATCTTTCCTCGCAAAATAAATCAAGATACTCATCGTACGCTGGAAAATTCTAAGAGCTTTTAGCTGAGGCAAATATAGAGGTTTATCCGGTTCATGTATAACGAGGTGGAAAACTCTTGAAAGATAATTAAGTCCTGTTACACCAAAGAGGTGTAGAGAGTTTTAGTGAATTTTGTCTCATGGAATTGACACTCCCCCATTTTTACCAAAACTCTCAACTACATATTATTCTCGGTTGAACCAAACAGACGAAACAAAAAAACAAGTAAACCCTCATTCTTCCATGACATTTTACATTTTCATCCAAAAACGTCGAGAGCAATTGTCGTTTGTATTTTCATGTGGGCCAATTAACTTTGGGTCTCAACTGGCACGTGGACCCCCCCCCCCCCTCTGCCGAAAAAACGCGTCGACGTAAATTACTGGAATAAACAGGTGCGCGGACAAAAAATCGTTGACGAAATGTCCTATAACCGTTTAGCAGCGCGTAGATTAGCAAGTAATGCGGTTGCTTCAGAGGATGGGTCAGTTGCGCTGGTTACAGAATCGTATTTTGATGCTTGGTTCTCGTAGATAATAAGATCGGCCCAAACAGCAACTCTCCACGTTCAATATTAATCGAGATATCGCGCTTTGAAACGTTCGGTTTGTGACGTCATCCTCCGCAAAGTGACACCCTTGGTTTCTTCCACTTTGCTTTCATTAGTCAATGTGACGTACATTTGCACTGGTTTCTCAACGTAAAACTCGAATGAAAGCAAGGTGGAAGAAACAAAGGGTGTCACTACCGCGGTAGATTACGTCAAAAACCCGACTTTTCAAAGGGCGATATCTCGGTTAATATTGGCCGTAGAAAGTAATCACTGTTTGGGCCGATCTTATTATTTTTAGTTTTTCTACAAGAATCAAGTATCGAAACACGACTCTATGTAACCAGCGCAACTGACCCAATAATTCTTTGATGAAACGTGTCGACGCATATGTAACGCCTTCATTGTGAAAAGATACTTCCTTGCGTGGCAGGAGAGGCCGAATTATAGCGTCATTTAAAAAATAAATCAACTGTTTGGCTGCGCAGAGCAAACTATTATAGGTAACTTTTTTGCGAATGCATCGGCGAAGGTCTATTCTCGGATTGTGTATGGTGGTGCATTTGTGCATGTCACAGGATTTTCAACGCAGAAATTTATCAACTTTTCCATGATCTCTGCTCAATAATTTTTTGCAATATCGTCCTCGATTCCGTTATTATGGAATCTCAATTTGATTGAATAATGTCGAAGAACACGAGTTTATTTTTGGATCCGAATAACTCTGTGATTTTAAAGATGAAAACCGGCTACATCTGCCCCAAATGACCTTTGATACGCTGAAATTATGCGTAACCAACGTAATCCAAACACTGATGTACCTCCTGCGTCGCGCACTTTTAGGGTGAAGGCTGTTAACAACTTATCTTTGACGTCACTTGAGCACGTGCGTTTATCCTTATTTTTTTCAGAAAAAATTTCAAACAGCCTTCGAGCTTCATCGCTAAAACTAATCAATATTCTTGCATAGAATATTCATCGAATGTATTTTTAGATCGTCCAGAAAAATTAATCGAAGTTTTACGAATCAAAAATGGTTATTTCTCCTGTGTATAGCTAGAGTTCCTTTATACCCAGAGTTAAGATAACTCGATTATCAGCTAACTGGCAGCTGGCCTTGGCTAGCCATGGAGGCACAAACGAGTGCACCCAAACGAACGATATTGAGGGATAAGGATGAGGAACCCTGCGACGTCTGTCATCCAAAAACAACAACATCAACGAAATTGATCGATTAAAAAGAAAATGAGATTGGTTTGTGAATAATTGCTTAATCTATTTTCATTTTGGACCGATGGAAATAACAATCTACTCTCGATAAACCACAATTAGGTTATATTTTCATTATTTTTGTTCACATTCGAGTCACCGCCATCATAGTGCACTCGTTTATGACTCAATGAGCGAGAACCAATCAGAATTGGATTTTTTTAGGCCACTTTCAGCCCAACCAAAAGTGAGTTGTCGTAACTCTGGGTATAAAAGGGACTCAATGTAGAGCAAAAAGAACAGTCATTTCGTGAGGGAAATGGCTCTAAAATCACAATGAGCGCATCGGAGAAGTCTGAAATACACTCCTAGCTGCACAATCCGCGTAAGAAATTTGCTGTTTTTTCAGCTTCCCGCTTCAAAAACGATACTACGGCATAGGTGAACATTTTGTAAGGGGAGTCGTTTCATCCAATCCTTGCGCACTAGGATGCTACGCAATATTCAACACGGCCGACGCCAACCCGCCGAAACACGCAAGTCACGAGAGGGGATTTTTTCATCAGGCGAAGTACTATTTATTACATATTCCATGTATTGATAAAGACCATGGTGCCTCCTCACAATTTTCGCGCGGAAGCGTCAGCCATGTTGAATATTGCGTAGCATCCTGGTGCGCAAGGGTTGGACGGAACGACAACGGCTCCTCTGACAAAATGTTCACCTGTGCGGTAGTATCGTTTTTGAAGTGGGAAGCTTAAAAAAATGCATATTTCTTACGCAGATTATGAAATTAGGAGTACATTTCAGACTTTTTCGATGCACTCCCCAAGTAGCAGTGATCGCGATAAATAGCGATTTCGTCGGTTTGTTATCGCGATTATATCGGTGGCAATACATCGAGATATTATCGCGTCAAAAACCGTAATATATGACGATTAAATCGCTACAAATCGCAATTTTTGGTTCGATAAAATTGTGATCAATTTTTGTCGATAAAATCTAGATTAAATCGCCATTTACCGCGATTTTTATTTCGAAAATATCGCGATAAATTATCGGGCAATAAAAGCACCATTTTATCGCGATAAGATCGAGGATAATCGCTCAGTTCTTGACGATCCTGGCGATTTTATCGCCGATAAAATCGAAATATATAGCGATTTTTCCATTGAGAAATGCTACTTGAGTCATCGTGATTTTGAAGTCATTTTCTTTAAGACACAACTTCACTTTAAGCTCTAGCTGACGTTTGCAGCAGGTTTATTGCGTTGATCTGGAAGAGAGGGTTGGTAGCTGCACGCCTTATTTTCTGAACTTCCTGAAGAGTGTTTGTTTGCGCACGGTCGCAAAAGATTCATTGTAGCCTTAAACCTCGGATGCCAA